ATAGAAGACATCAAGGAGGAAATTAAAAAATTCTTAGAGATAAATGAAAACACAGACACAACATATCGGAATCTATGGGACACATTGAAAGCAGTTCTAAGAGGAAAATTCATTGCTTGGAGTTCATTCCTTAAAAAAAGAAAAAAACCAACAAATAAATGATCTCATACTTCATCTCAAAATCCTAGAAAAAGAAGAGCAAAACAACAGCAAAAGAAGTAGAAGGCAAGAAATAATGAAAATCAGAGCTGAAAATAATGAAACCAAAACAAAAGAAACAATTGAAAAAATTGACAAAACTAAAAGTTGGTTCTTTGAAAAAATAAACAAAATCGACAGACCCTTAGCCATGCTAGCGAAGAGAAGAGAGAGTACTCAAATTACTAGCATACGGGATGAAAAAGGCAATATCACAACAGACACTTCAGAAATACAGAAGATAATCAAAAATTATTTTGAATCCTTATACTCCAATAAATTAGAAGATAGTGAAGGCATAGATAAATTTCTTAAGTCATATGATCTGCCCAGATTGAGTCAGGAGGATATAGACAACCTAAACAGACCAATATCAATTGAGAAAATAGAAGAAACCATCAAAAGACTACCAACTAAGAAAAGCCCAGGACTGGATGGGTATACAGCAGAGTTTTACAAAACCTTTCAAGAGGAACTAATACCAATACTTTTCAAGCTACTTCAGGAAATAGAAAAAGAGGGAGAACTTCCAAATTCATTCTATGAGTCCAACATCACCCTGATACCAAAACCAGACAAAGACACTTCAAAGAAAGAAAACTACAGACCAATATCTCTAATGAACCTAGATGCAAAAATCCTCAATAAAATTCTGGCCACTCGGATACAAAAACATATCAAAAAAATTGTGCACCATGATCAAGTAGGATTCATCCCTGGGATGCAAGGCTGGTTCAATATACGGAAATCAATAAATGTTATTCACCACATCAATAGACTTAAAAATAAGAACCATATGATCATCTCGATAGATGCGGAAAAAGCATTCGACAAAGTACAGCATCCCTTTATGTTCAAAACTCTAGAAAAAACTTGGGATAACAGGAACATTCCTCAATATTGTAAAAGCAATCTATGCTAAGCCTCAGGCTAGCATCATTCTGAATGGAGAAAAATTGAAGGCATTCCCTCTAAAATCTGGAACAAGACAGGGATGCCCTCTCTCTCCACTTCTCTTCAACATAGTTCTCGAAACACTGGCCAGAGCAATTAGACAGACGAAAGAAATTAAAGGCATAAAAATAGGAAAAGAAGAACTTAAATTATCACTATTTGCAGGTGACATGATTCTATACTTAGCAGACCCAAAAGGGTCTACAAAGAAACTATTAGAGCTAATAAATGAATTCAGCAAAGTGGCAGGATATAAAATCAACATGCATAAATCAAAGGCATTCCTGTATATCAGCGACAAATCCTCTGAAATGGAAATGAGGACAACTACTCCATTCACAATATCTTCAAAAAAAAAAAAAATACTTGGGAATCAACCTAACAAAAGAGGTGAAAGACTTATACAATGAAAACTACAGAACCCTAAAGAGAGAAATAGAAGAAGATCTTAGAAGATGGAAAAATATACCCTGTTCATGGATAGGCAGAACTAACATCATCAAAATGGCGATATTACCAAAAGTTCTCTACAGGTTTAATGCAATGCCAATCAAAATCCCAACGGCATTTCTTGTAGAAATAGAGAAAGCAATCATGAAATTCATATCGAAAAACAAAAGACCCAGAATAGCAAAAACAATGCTAAGCAGGAAGTGTGAATCAGGCGGTATAGCGATACCAGACTTCAAACTATACTACAGAGCAATAGTAACGAAAACAGCATGGTACTGGTACCAAAACAGGCGGGTGGACCAATGGTACAGAATAGAGGACACAGAAACCAATCCACAAAACTACAACTATCTTATATTTGATAAAGGGGCTAAAAGCATGCAATGGAGGAAGGATAGCATCTTCAACAAATGGTGCTGGGAAAACTGGAAATCCATATGCAACAAAATGAAACTGAATCCCTTTCTCTCGCCATGCACAAAAGTGAATTCAAAATGGATCAAGGAGCTTGATATCAAATCAGAGACACGCCGTCTGATAGAAGAAAAAGTTGGCTACGATCTACAGTCGGTGGGGTCGGGCTCCAAATTCCTCAATAGGACACCCATAGCACAAAAGTTAATAACTAGAATCAACAAATTGGACTTACTCAAACTAAAAAGTTTTTTCTCAGCAAAAGAAACAATAAGAGAGTATAGGGAGCCTACACCCTGGGAACAAATCTTTACTCCTCACACTTCAGATAGAGCCCTAATATCCAGAGTATACAAAGAACTCAAAAAATTAGACAATAAGAGAACAAACAACCCAATCAACAAATGGGCCAAGGACCTGAACAGACACTTCTCAGAGGAGGACATACAGTCAATCAACAAGTACATGAAAAAATGCTCACCATCTCTAGCTGTCAGAGAAATGCAAATCAAAACCACCCTAAGATACCATCTCACTCCAGTAAGATTGGCAGCCATTAGGAAGTCAAACAACAAGTGCTGGCGAGGATGTGGGGAAAAGGGTACACTTGTACATTGCTGGTGGGACTGCAGATTGGTGCAGCCAATTTGGAAAGCAGTATGGAGATTTCTTGGAAAGCTGGGAATGGAGCCACCATTTGACCCAGCCATTCCCCTTCTCGGTCTATTCCCTAAAGACCTAAAAAGAGCATGCTACAGGGACACTGCTACATCGATGTTCATAGCAGCACAATTCACAATAGCAAGACTGTGGAACCAACCTAGATGCCCTTCAATAGACGAATGGATTAAAAAAATGTGGCATTTATACACAATGGAGTATTACTCTGCATTAAAAAATGACAAAATCATAGAATTTGCAGGGAAATGGATGGCATTAGAGCAGATTATGCTAAGTGAAGCTAGCCAATTCCTAAAAAACAAATGTCAAATGTCTTCTTTGATATAAGGAGAGTAACTAAGAACAGAGTAGGGACGAAGAGCAGGAGAAGAAGATTAACATTAAACAGGGATGAGAGGTGGGAGGGAAAGGGAGAGAGAAGGGAAATTGCATGGAAATGGAAGGAGACCCTCAGGGTTATACAAAAGTACATACAAGAGGAAGTGAGGGGAAAGGGAAAAATAAGACAAGGGGGAGAAATGAATGACAGTAGAAGGGGTTGAGAGAGAAGAGGGGAGGGGAGGGGAGGGGAGGGGAGGGGGGATAGTAGAGGATAGGAAAGGCAGCAGAACACAACAGACACTAGTATGGCAATATGTAAATCAATGGATGTGTAACTGCAATCTGTCTATGGGGTAAAAATGGGAGTTCATATCCCACTTGAATCAAAGTGTGAAATATGATATATCAAGAAATTTGTAATGTTTTGAACAACCAACAATGAAAAATTAAAAAAAAAAAAAAGAAACATTAAAAAAAATGAATGTATCACGTATCTAAATAGAAGACAGCTGTTCCTGGAGGTAGTGAAGGGCACATGTGAGATTTTCTGAATCAATAAATTGTTTTTCTGTCCACTAAAAAAAAAAAAAAAGAGTGCACATGTTAAATTCCGATGTTTTTTACAAAGGAGAATTCAGAGTATATTTTAATGTTTGGTAGAGTTGGTGCCCTCTCATTCTTTTTTTCTCCAGGTTATTCTAATATGTTATCTCAAATGAAAACATGCATAACATTAATGGGATGTCATTACATTTACAAATTAAGCTAAGGAGAAAATCCTGTTTTGATATTGAATGTTCGTATCTAAGAATATGGTATAGTATTTTACTTGTTCAAGTCTATTTTTTTGGGGAGAGGGTATTTCAAGTCTTACTGTTTTGAACAAAAAGATTTCTCACATAGGTTTTAGACATCAGGTTTATACATTTTTTTTTGCAATCACAACGGGGGTCTTCTCTTGAACTGAATCTAATTTAGGTTTGTGTGTATATATACATATACACACATATAGTCTTTTATTCTTTTTTAAGATATTTTTATTTATCTATAATTATACATACAGAACAGTGCTGAAATCATGTATAAAGCTTAATATTCATTAAATGAATGCACCTATGTAACCAGCACCTAGGATCATAAAACAAAACATTAGCAGCACCATAGAGCCTCCTTGTATTCTCTTCTAGAGCCAAAGAAGCCAGGTAAAAAATATAGTATACAACATGGTCCACTTATATAAAGTTCAAAACCAGGCAAAATTAATTGATGATTAAGTCTCGGTAGCACTTACCTTTCAGAAGGGAGGTAGAAGCTGAAAGAAGTGATTTCTTAAAACACACATGAACTTTGCCTGTTCTGAACTTAATTAATGGAATCATAGTATACACTCTGTGACTGGTGAAGGCTACTGATTATTTGTTAACTGTACTTAATAGCTATCATTAAGTTCTTTTATAGTATATATAATTTATATAAAAATTGCTTTGGGTTTTCCAAATACATATAATCATATCTGTAAACAGCTTTACCTTTTTATTAGTTCATGTCTTTGTTTTGTTTAACTTTCTTTGTTTAAATTATGAACACAGTGTTAAACAGTAGAGGAGACAGTGGGCATGTCTTGTTCCTGAGTTTGGTTGGAATGCCACTCTGGGGCATAAATACAATGTTAATGAGATATTAATCAGTTTCTACACCTTGAGTACTTAATTTTATCAGATGTCTTCTGCAAAGATAACCATAATTTTTTCTTTTTCTTGTAATATATTTTCTAATATTGGATTATCCTTGCATTTCCTAATATATACTGAACTCAGTCATGATTAATACTTTTTCAAAGTGCTATTGGATTGTTTGCTAGTAAATCATTAAACTTTATGCATTGATATTCATTGGACTAATATTTTATTTTTGGTACACTATTTGTCAGGTTTTCTAATAAGTACTATTATACTCATTAACAAAATGAACTTGGAAAGTTTTTCTTTTTTTTCAATTTAAGGTTCAAGATTCTTCTGTCTACTCCTTGGACTTGTTTAAGCAACACTGGGAATATCTGATCTTAAATGTATGGTAAGAATGACAATCTGGGTCTAAATGCTTATTTTTGGTAGGAGATCCTTTAATTACTTGTTTCTTCTATGCCTAATTTGTTTGGTTTTCTGTATGTATTAAATTTTGGCAATTTGCATTTTTCTTTATAAAGCTTTCTAACTTGTATTAAAAAATCAGTTAAAAAAATCTTGTTTTATGGTTATCCCCCCTTGTCATTTTAAGTTTTTCTTATTTGTGCTTCCTCTCCCCCTCCTTTTTAAAAAACAAATCAGTTGATAGTTTGTGTATTTAATTGAGCTTCATCCCCCAACCCAAAGAATGAGCTTGTCGGTTTATTGGCTCTACTGTTCTGGTTTTCTACCAATTACTTTTGGTTTTCTCTGCAATGCTGGGATCAATACTTTTTGCTTTTATCTTTACTAATTCCTTAATTGTGTTTACTTCAGCTTTTAAGACTACTGATACCATACAGACACTATAATTGCTCTCATAACTGCTTTTTGTTTTGAAGCATTAGGTTTCTATATGTCTTGAAATCATGTCTCTCTGGTGTGTTTTCATTGTCTATGGGATGTTGATGTACTTATTTCCTATTTCTTATACTAACTTTGAATGTCAATGGACAGCAATCTTGTTTAGTTTTTTAAAAAAGTGAGTTTTCCTATGCTTTTGGGAAGAAGGGGTACTCTAGGTTAACTTTTTCAGCTTCACAAACCCAGAACTCCTTCCCCTCTCCACCCCACATTGATTTAAATGATTGTGTTTCCGTGTTTATATATTTTTATCTACTGGCCTTCTTGACTACTTCTCTCTCTTTTTTTAATCCTATTGTACCTGTCTTGTCCACCCTGGATTCTAATTTCAGCAGTTTTTTGCAGTGTTGTCTTATTACTTTCAAAAAGTACACAGTATAAAACCCAGGCTGCTCTATTGTAACCATCAGACCTTATCATATTGCTTTAAGACTCACCTGCCTGCAGATGGGACTCTGTAGAACTCTTCCCCATTTTAGCATCTATTCTCAGGTGGCCCACTGCAGTTTGTAGTGAGCAGCTCTGCATACTGTCATAGTTCTCTAACTTGCAAGGCTCAGAAACCAGCTGCCTTCCTCACAGATGGTGAAACCACGTGAGTCAGCGTTTTATTCTTTTACTTGTATTATCAGGTTCATAGGAATTCCCTGCCATCTAGTTTTGTAGACAGTGTGTCTGTGGCTACCCCAATTACTCTGTCTTCTTATGGAGAGATTAAAAACTACACTGCTGCCATCATCTTCCCTGAGTTTACATTCTGTTAAGACCTTTATTGTAGATTAGAGGCTTTAAAAATAATTTTGTGATTATGACACTATAATTAAGAATATGCTGTATTTCAGGCACTATGCTAAGTGTTTACATGTAACACCTCATTTAATTCTTAACCAATCCTGTAAATTAAGTTTTAATATTTTCCTCATTTTACCAATGGGGTACCTGTGGTCCAAGATAATGCTGAACTGGCAGATTTGAGATATAAACCCAAACCACCTGATTCCAGAGCATCTTCTCATTAACAATCCAATATGATCAGGTCCAAGAATTTTCAAACTACATACCTCTATTAGCAAAATTTCTACTTGAATTTAGGTTACTTATGAATAAGAGTCTAAAAAAATCCTCAATACATATTACAAATCAAATTTAACACACTATAGATAGTAAACAGGTTAACAGTAACTTCTACTATCTTCAAAAACAAAAACAAATACAAAACCAAAACCAAAAAACCCCCACCAAACCAAAAACTGCTAGAGAAGAGAAAATTTAGACCCTGGGAACAGTTATTTGAGTTTGATCTTCATAATTTTCTTCTCATTCCACCACTACTTCTAAAGAACCAAGTATATTTGTAAAATATTGTATATAATTTACTTTATTAATCAATACTTTTCTTGTGAATTATTTTTAAAAAGTTAGAAATAGTCTTTCCAAAACTCACAACAGCCCAGTATTTTTTGGTCAGTATGTTTTGGTGAAAAGTGAACATTCACTTGCCTCTAAAGTTTCACAAGAAACTTTATCTCTCAGTGTGTATCAATTAGAATCATTCTATTATTAATATTCTTTTGCTATTAAATTATTCAAGGAGTTAGAAAATATCTAACAGTTTTATAAATGACGTTTACATTAGAATTCACTTAACTTTCATTTATGAATATAATTACTATTAGTACTTTTCTTATCTTCTAACCTTGTTAGTGACTCAGGAAAAATGTGGGATTTCTACATACTCATAAAGCCATTATATACATGTTATTTTAACTCTCAACCTCTAATAGATGACTGACTTTGAGATAGGGATATCTTAAATTGTGAGGATTTAAAAGCAACTTGAATAACTCATGGAAGAATAATATCTTTTGATAAGTCTATTTTTTTCCCTACCACTGGAAGATTTTTTTCTTCCTTTTGTTTCTGAAGCTGGGGATTGAACTCAGGGCATCACAAATGCTAGACAAACACTGAATCACTGAGCTACCCCCAGCACTATTTTATTTCTAATAAAATACATCTGATTTTGCAAATTCCAGTTTAAAACTAAACATACCAATGATTCTAGTAAACAAATCATTTTTCCAAGTACATGCTAGGTTTCCCTTGGGAAGGGTTATTTTAGAATATTCTTGAAATTAGGCAAGAAATTAAATAAATTGAAAATATTTGTAATTCTTAAAGAGAACACAACTTAGTTTTTATATTGATGTCTGTAGAACTAATGATTCAACTTTTATCATTACCAAGATTAACTTAAATCTAGCTCCATTAGTGAGATTTCCTTCTCCATATCAGTATCAGACTCATATCTCTGAAGTGACTAAGTGATAGATGTGATTTATTGACAGGTTGACTACTAATGTAGAGTCTTTACAACATCACCTTTGTGATTAGCTAATTCACTGAATTAATACAAAGTAATGAACAAAAGTGCAACTCTAATTCTTATCCTCTAAATGGATACATTCCCCTACCACTTACCTGAAAATATAAAAATATAAACTACTATGACTATGTATGGAGCTGCACCATTGAATTTATTTGGGAGGTTCTGTTTTTGCATTTAAATTTTTTATTTAATTTGAAAAAGCTAGAAAATTATTTCAGGTCGAATATTCCTTATCCAAAATGCTTAGGATCAGAAGTGATTTAGATTTTCATTTTTTCCCCAGATTTTAGAATATGTGCATATACATAATATCTTGTGAATGAGACCTAAGTCAGAACACAATGAATTTGTTTCATATATACCTTACATAAATAGCTGAAGCTAATTTTATACATTTTTACTGTGTTTATTACATTTTCACTGTAATCTGTCGTAAGAGGTCAGATAATTTTCTACTTGAGTGTCATGTTGGCACTCAAAAAGTTTGGATTTTGAACTATTCTAGATTTCAGATTGTTGGATTAGGGATGCGCAACCAGATAGTTTGAAATAAGAACAGCTAATAACACACTGGTGTCAACAAAAATTTTAAATGGCTAAAAGTAACTATTAGAAAAGTATAATTTTCAGTATCATGAATCTTAGAAATATAAACAGAAACACTAAATGCTTTTCCTTCTATATAAGAATGTTTTCTCCCCCACCCCTAGAAAAGACAACTAATGATATGAGATTAAAATAAAACATAACTGGTAGTCACACCAGCAATGTCTACATATACATAAAGATCCACACAGCACAAAACTTTCTCTTTCATAATCACAATTAAATTACTCTTTCCTCAGTTACATAATCGTTTTCTTAAAACAATCTCCCTTTAGAAAACTATCTTATTACTTAGGCTTATTTACTTTTTTCCAGTCATTAATTTCATTTATATTGGCCACATACGTTTAATTGGCACACTTCAGAATAAGATAAAATAAGCCATTCTGTGAAAAAAAAAAAAATTATGGGATCATCTGTTTTCAAAGACTAATCCCAGATACTTAATTCATTAATGCAATTTTTTTTAACATCAGCAGTCAAGATTTTTAAATGATCATTAAGTCCTCAACTGAAGATTATCAATGCTATATGAAGTACAAACTTGTTTTGAAGATTTGTGTTCACTTTATATAAGATACAATTTGTACTAGGAGTTTTAAAAAAGATAACCTACATACATACAGTTAATTTACCTCAAAGAACTTCTTAGAAATATTGTATAAACATTTAAGAACCACAACAGAATCCAATGTGGTTCAAACTTCAACAAAGATTTTCTTGAAACCTAGTACAAAGGTTACTGGCTCAAGACCATTTTCCAAAGTGATATCAGTATGAGTTTTGATTGTAAGACTCTATCCCTTAAAAAAAGAGCACACTTGGTTATACATGGCTTTTAACCTTGAGCTACAGTTAGGCTACAAATCCCACCCCCCTAATCTAAAATCAGTCAAGTGGAGATATGTACATTCTCTGAGCACTGTTTAGAGTCCTTGTTTTTCCAGCTTTGATGAAGATCTCTAAGGCGTTCAGAAGTCCGTGTGCTTACATTCAGAGCAGGATGAACTTTACAAATTCCACTTTCCTCCATTAGTGACAGGCCACAGATCCCAAAGTATGCATGCAAAGCATCTGAAAAGAAGACATTTAAAAAATCCTAACAGGCATCTGTACATGCTACAAAATATTTTAGCTACAAAAAATCTACATTAAAATTAAATTTTAAGAAAGGCAAAATACAGTTTTTGAAATGCTTACTTTCTCAGTTTCAAAAACCAATTAAAACAAATCGGATATTAAAATATTTTATTAATGAAATTATTAATAACTAAGAACAGTTACAACAAGAGAAGATGCAACTACCAATATTCTCTGAGGACAAAGAAAGAATAGCAGTAATATAAAAGACCTCTCACTTTAGTGGGTTTTTCCTTTTGCTTATTACACAAAATGGAAACAAATGCCTGTCACTCTATATTAGAAAGGAAAATAAGTCTACCTCTGAATCTAAGCAATACAGCTTACCCTCCTACCTTTAAGTTTTAAGTATGGCAATTCTTAAACCATATACTAATATTGTGTTAAATCTAAAAATAATGCATTCTGGAATGTTGTCTCATATTTAGTTCTTCTATTTAGGATTATGTCAGCCATTCTAAAAATGTCTGACCTGACCACAAACAAGCAAGCAAACTCACATTCTATTTGGTTACAGTAACAATTCTTTTGTAGTGGCCTCACTACACTTTCACATCTTCAAGGGGACACCAATCTTCTAAAAAAAAAAAAAAAAAGTGTAGAGACTGAAATCATTTGTCTCCTAGAGCCTTATTTAAAAAATTCTGGGGCTGGGGATGTGGCTCAAGCGGTGGCGCGTTCGCCTGGCATGCGTGCGGCCTGGGTTCGATCCTCAGCACCACATACAAACAAAGATGTTGTGTCCACCGATAACTAAAAACTAAATATTAAAAAAAAAATTCTCTCTCTTAAAAAAAAAAAAATTCTGAAAAGCTCAGAACTGTGTTGTTGTGGGAACATTATAAAAGAACAGTTTTGCAGTGGCCAAGATTTTTTCTTATTTTTGAACTGGCCAGCATGTATGACATTAAGATCTATTAAACTTCAAAACATCTTACCAAATCAAACTTCATTAAGCATTACTGCTTAGTTTTATTCTGGCTTTATTTCCTATAATTTTCAGACTAGAAATATTAAGCTTAATTTCCTTTGTACTGTTATGTTATTTCATAGAGTTATTTTAAAATTATAAGGCGCACAAAGCAACAATGAGGTTCATTTTTTAGAAACTAGAAAATTGTTCCAGGAAAAAAGGTGAAAAAGAAAGCATGAAAGTGTCAGGCTCAGCTTCACATTCCTGTAATTCCAGCTATGCTGTAGGCTGAGGCAGGAGAATTTCAAGCTTGAGGCCAGCCTGGGGAACTTAAGGAAACCCAGTCTCAAAATAAAAATGGCTAGGGGATATAGCTCAGTAGTGGAGTGTAGAGTACCTTGGGGTTCTATTCCAAGTACCACAGAAAGGAGGAGTAAGGGAAGAGGCATAATATACATATAGAATAATAAAAAATAGAATCTTATATTAATTAAATTAAAATATTTACAGATGAAGTAAAGCTTTTTTTTCCCCCTCAAAAAAATTTTTAAGTCAAAAAGAACAGAACTTGTTTCAAATCTCAAATAGTTTCTTTAAAAAAGTCTTATCTGTAGGTGATGACACTACCTACTTTAACTTAATAAGGTAAAGATGTATTTACTTCATAATAAAAGTCACTTTTTACAAAAGTTCCTTCCATAAAAGTATATAAAAATCTCCTCATGTCAAATCTGCTACTAGACTTACTAGAACTCTCTGGTGTATAGGCTCCAGAGAAACTGTAATCAGAGACACGGTAATCTATCTGTACAAAACTCAATAGTTTTACAAATTTTTAAATATTTACACAAATGTCCAAGTTAGCAACTGATCTTTGTAGAAAAGAAGTTAAAGATCTACACAAAAAATAAAAACTATTCTGTATTCATACAGAAAATAATTACCTGGATGACTATCTGGCCATTTGGCAAATCCCCCTACAAGGCGATCTTGAGTTGATAAGATGTAATTTCTATTTTTCTCAAAGTTAGTGTATTGAAAAATTTTCAGAAGCTGAAATGACAAAATTAATTGATATAAAACTTTTATATTGGTCTTTGGTTCACATTTCAGGTATGCATCATTTAGATATGCTTTTCTCTAGCTAAGGCTCACAGAGGAAATCTCAGGACTTTTCAGCACTTAAAATTAGTTAGCTACATGATCTATTTTTTTTTTTTAAATCTTCTTTGCAAAGTCTACTCTCCTTTTATTGATTTGCTATTTCCTTCTCTGAACCAGGTGCAACTAGGCTCTTTGTACCACATTAAGCCACATTCAAAACATAACTTCCTCAATCTACTCAACATAATCAGCCATTTAAAAAAGAACTATTTTATCTAATCATATTTTAACTTTTCTGATAGGCTTTTGATCTATTTGTTGCAAATAGTAACTAGAACTCAAAATATTAAAAAAAAAAAAAAGAGAAAGCAAAATCATGAACCAGATGCTAGAGATAGTTTTATATGAGAAAAGTAAAAAATTACAGCTCTATAGTTAGGAAAGATAAAAGTGAGACAAATATGACTGCAACATAAAAAAACTTTGTAGCTTAATGATTTATGTCATGTATTTATCTTCTCTCTGAAGAACCATTAAAAAGAAAAAAAAAAAAAACTGTGACAGGCACAAAGAAGTGGTAGACAGTAGGTAAGGGTTCAAGAAATTTCTGAAGATGCAAGTAGTTTCAAGTGTACTCATAAATCAGAGAACCAGGAAAGATATTAGTGACTGATGAGCAAGGATTATTTCTCAAAAAATTACCTTTAAGAAAATTATAATACAAATAAGAAACAAACTTACATATTTTGATTCAATGAATAGAATATAAGGAAAGAGACTGACACATTTCTCATTCAGTGGCATAAGACTGACACATTTCCCATTATTACCTAAAAGAAGAAATTTATACTATGGGGGATTGGGCCTGTGCATGTTACACAAGTGCTGTAGCATTGAGCTACATCTCCAGTCCAAGAAATTATAATCCAATACAGTACTTGCTTCAACAATGAACAATATTTACATTGTCATAATAGGTGTTTATTACTGGTTTCCAAAGTGTAGAATTTTACTTATAGGGAAAACACAAAAGATCCGATAGTAATCACACCATATGAATAGTTACTGAACTTGACAGTTTTAGAGGGTAGGAGGAAAGTTTCAGAAGTAAATATAATGTAGTCAACAACAATATGCTGGAAAAAAAAAGGGAGCCTAAATCCTAAATATTTCATAGCTAAAAGAAAACGTTTAAAGCTGTTAAGAAATCAGCATAGGCTGAACATGGTTGTGTATGCCTCTAATCCCAGTGGCTCAGGAAGCTGAAGCAGGAGGATCACAAGTTCAAATCCAGCCTCAGCAACTTTTATAAGATTAGGCCCTAAGCAATTTAGTGAGACCATATCTCTAAATAAAATATTTACAAAAAAGGCTGGGGATGTGGCTCAGTGGTTAAGCGCCCCTGAGTTCATCCCCTGGTACAAAAACAAGAAATAAATAAAACCAGCTTATAAAGTTACAGCAATGTCCACAAAAACTACAAAAGAAATGTCTAAAAGTGGTTGCTGAAGTCACAGCAAAAATCTTCAAGAGACCACAGATGGGACAACTGAAACATTGAAAAACATATAGAGGGGCTGGGGATGTGGCTCAAGCGGTAGCGCGCTCGCCTGGCATGCGTGCAGCCCAGGTTCGATCCTCAGCACCACATACAAAGATGTTGTGTCTGCCGAAAACTAAGAAATAAATATTAAAATTCTCTCTCTCTCTCTCTCTCTTTAAAAAAAAAAAAGAAAAACATAAAGAATGAAAACATTAAAATATATGAGTTCACAAAGATATTACAAAAAAAAAAAGAAAAGAAAAAAAGAAAAACCCACCCCATTTCATTGGAAAACTTGAGGGGATACTAGGGAACCAACCTACTATGCCATACACTATTAAAATTATAAAGAAATAATCTGCCTTTCTCTGTACAAACTATACTCATGTTAAGGTAAAATTATTTATAAAGGAATGCTAATAAATTTAGAAGGAATGATAAGACTATCACTGTTTATAATCCCTTACTGACACAAGTGATGTGATATATTCAATAGCTGCTAAAACCACTCCATAAGAGTTGATGGGTTTCTAAACATTAACAATAAATATCCAAATGCAAATTTTAAGAGCGATTCTATTTATAAGCATTTAAAATAATTAAATAGTACTTAGAAATAGATCTAGCCAAGGAGATGAAAAACCTATGCACTAAAAACCATAAAACATTTCTGGAAGAAATTAAAGACCACCTATATAAATAGAAAGACATCCCATGCTCATTAACATTGTCAAGATGTCAATACAACCTTTGGACATCTATATATATACACAATCCCTATCAAAATTCCAGAAGCTTTTTTTTTCCTTTTTTAATAAATGGGACTCAATCACCAAAATTCATATGAAACTGCAAGGGGCCCCAACAGCCAAAACAATCCTAAAAACAATGGAAGTTAGAAGGGGTACATTTCTTGATTTTAAAACTTATTACAAAGTTTTAATAATCCTCACCTATATGGTTAATTGATTTGACACGGATGCCAAGACTATCAAAGAGATGCTGGGAAACCTGACATGTAAAAGAATGACATTGGATCTTACTTTATGTCATGTATAAAAATTACCTCAAGATTGACAAAAAGACTATTTATAAACAACTACAACTATAAAACTATTAGGAAAAAAAACACTAGGAAAAATCTTTATGACTCCGATTGGACAATAATTTTATAGATGTCAAATTAAAAAACAGATTAAACTGGACTGCACCAAAATTAAAAATTTTTGTTCATTAAATTATTATGAACAGAGTAAAAAGGCAAGTTGAGAAATGGAAGAAAAAAAATTCAAACCATATTATCTGCTAAGGGACTAACATGTAGAATAAACAACTCTTGTAACTCAGTAACAATGATAATGTTCAATATCAGTAATTACTCAGGAAAAATAAATCAAAACCACAATGAGATAACCACATCAGACCCACAAGAACCAACTGAATGACAACAACCACCACAAAATAGAAGAAAATGTTGGTGAGGATTGTGGAATACAAAACAGGGCAGTTGCTGTGGGATACAGTTTGGTGGGTCCTCAAAAAGTATGACCCAGCAATTCAACTCCTGGGTCTAACATTCCCAAATATGAAAACAAGGACTCGATCATATATTGTACAGCATGTTCATAGCAACCTTATTCACACAACCAATAAGTGGTAACAACCCAAGTGATCATAAAAAATAAGCAAAATGTGGCACAGACATATAATGGAATATTATTCAGTCATAAAAAGGAACAACAATTTGATATAAGCTATAAAACATGGACCCTGAAAACATATGCTAAGTGAAATAAGGCAGATAACAGAAGGACAAGTAGTCTGACTCCACTTTTATGAAGTAACTAAACAGACAAATTCACAGAATCAGTAGAACAGATGTTAGCAGGGGCTGGGAGAAGAGAATAGGAAGTTATTGTTTAATGATTTAATGAATACAGAATTTATGTTGTGGGTGATGAAAAAGTCAGTACAGATGGTGGTGATGGTTTTACAACATTGTGAATATAAATACCACTGATTTACATACTTACAAATTGTTAAACTGACAAGTATATATATTTTACAATAAAACAAGTAGAAAAACAAAAAAATTGATGGAAACTTAATGGAAGAAATCAGGATGGCAATTTTGAAGCCCTCTGATAAAAGGAGAAATAAAAGGAGAAACCACCAGATATGTGCTTCTTGATATAATGTAATGGGAAATATATACCATCATGGATTGGATATTTAATGATAATAAGCAATTGTGGCTGATTTTTTGGATGTGATGCTACTAAGGTTGTGTGTTTTGGGTTTTTTTTTTTTTTTTTTCTTGTTTCATAGTGCTGGGGATTGAACTTAGTGTCTTGTGCATGCGAGGCAAGCTCTCGACCAACTGAGCTATATTCCCAGCCCTAAGGTTCTGTTTTTTTAAAAAGCTGTTTTCATTCAGAGATTATACTGAAGAATTTCCAGATAATATATCTCAGATTTGCTTTCAAATAATATGGTGAATGGGAGAGAAATAGGACAAGTATGGTTAAAGAAAGACTAGTTTAGGGATAAATATTGATAATGGTTGATGGATATTTATACAAAGTATACAGGAAAGCATTATATGCAAATACCATACCAAGTTGTTATCACTTGAATTTTATTAAGATGGAAAAATTTCAAGTAAAACATTCTCCCTAGTTTTGAGTACTTTTAAAATTTCCCATGATTAAAAAATAAATAAAACTAGCACCTGTGAGAAATAGCACTAGAAGGAGAAACAGACATTATTTCTTTCATTTTAAATAATTTTCTGTTCTAAATTTGTTTTAATCATATACATAAATTTTGTTTAAGGGAAAAAATTAGGATATTACATAGAAGATGAATACAGACTATTTAGATTCTAGACTATCGGAACTAGGTGATACTTCTTAAAAGTAAAAAGCTATTTTTAAGATACATAAAACTTACAGATATTTATTGGCTCAACAGCTTCATGGAATTAATATAGTAAACTAATATATTAAAACTAAATATATTAAAAGGTAGTAAAGATGGGAATATATGACAGTATACAGTCTTTAAATAACAAAAAGTAAAAAGAGGCATGTCAATGAGTTTTGGAAGACTTAGACAAAAATAATAACAGAAAAACTTTAAAAAAAGATAAATCACAGCTCATTCCTTGAAAAACCATTTAAGATTAGTAACTTTCCATACAATCTTTACTGATACCACTTTCAGACAGATGCTTGGACTACGTGGACCTCTAGTCTGTTTCAATAACAAGTCTTTTTATGACAGTGTAATTACTAGAAAGTGATAAATAACAAATGCTACTAAATTTTAAGTAGGTAATAGACTCAAGTTGTTATCACTTGAATTTTATTAAGATGGAAAAATTTCAAGTAAAACAGTAGTCTAAATTTAATAGCATTTAATGCACATGACTAAGATCAAACATTTTTAAATTAACATGAAGTCCAGGTTTCTCATTTTTATTATTTTTCTTACCTTTAGAGTTGCTCCTACCCAAAAAGAATAACAGGTGTCCACGGGTTTATTAGGTCTCCCATGATAACCATTTTGTTGCCTCATTATGCACCATCTCTTTATTCTGTTCAATTCTTTTTCTGAAAAAACTTCTTCTAGTTTTCCCATTAGACATAGTGATGCAATGCCACAAAAAGTAGATCCTCCTGTTAATCAAAACCACACAATGCTAAAAACTTCAAATTAGATACCTATAAAAACAGTACAAAATGCCTGGGGAGGGGGAAGAGTTAAATAATTCTAGAAAACAGTGAAATAAAATTTAAGTGACAATTGATTTCAAAATAATCACTAAAGTCTTTAGTGTTAATTTGATGAAACAGAGAGAATTTAAAATAATTTAAAGCTACAAGAATCATTCTGATTATGAGAAAAAGTAAGACTCAGAATAAGACTAAGAAATTTGTTCAAAATTACATGGTTAATGGCAAATTTGGAACTAAAATCTGGAGCTACAAAGTCCCTGTCCAACTAATCACCTGAGTCTAACCTTCTATATTTGTGAGTTCTTTATCCATGGATGTAACCAAATGAAGATCAAAAATATTTGAAAAAATATTGTGCCTGTACAGAACAGATTTTTTTCCCTTGTCATTATTCCCTAAACAATACGAAAACTACATAGCCATTTACATTGCACTAGGTATTATAGTGTAGACTATTTAAAGTATACAGGAAAGCATTATATGCAATTACCACACCATTTTATATAAGAGACTTGAGCATCAGCATTTGCAGAGATCCTGGAAAAATCCCCTATTTGTACTAAGGATGACTGTACTTACCTTAGGAAATGAAGTCAGTACTTTTCTAGAAAAGACACAACACTTTCCATTGGCATTATCTCTTGTTAACTCCAAACAATTCTCTTAACTTTCAAATCTTGGATGTATTCTCTAAGGAAAAGTGAGTATCACCTCTAGAAAATCCAAGGTGATAGTGATGGTGTGTGTGTTGAAATAATGGGGAACAAAATCTGCCACATTGTGCTATGTCCATGAATGAATATACCACAATGAATCTTGCTTATATGATAATAACTGACAGTAACAATTATTTAATCTTTAGAATCTTCCCCAATTAGTTGAGAGATGTATTCTAGTCTTGAGTGAATTAAAACAGAAAAGCAAAACAAATTTATCATAAGACTTTAGAGTAATTTCTATTAAACAACCCACAATCATATTTCCTTTTCAATGACTAATTTTAATTTCTTCAAGTATTATTATTAAAGATAAACAAAAGGAAAAAAGAGGCACTTTAAGTATTACTCTCTAAACTACTTTTTAGGATTCTTTAATGAAAACAGTCACAATTCAAAATAAGAACACTTTATTTTTCTCAGTTTTTGGAAATGGTAACTCTAGAAGTAAATTTGAGCTTTAAGTGTCCAGATGCAATTATTACAAAGTCTATGCTTCAAGCTAAAATTCATTTACCAATAGGTAAGCCACGTTCCCTTAAAAAGGGTCTCTTGTTTTTGTGAGATAACAAGCAAGACCTATTTGGTAGAGAAAAGCGATAGTGATGGTGCGTGTACTGAAGTAATGGTGAACAAAATTATGCTATGTCCATGCATGAATATACCACAATGAACCCTGCTTATACATATAATCATAATGCATTACAACAAATACTATTACTACTACTAGAAGGAAGATCAATCAGGAAAGAAGTGCAAGTGGAATCGGGGAGGAAGGAAGGAGAGGAAAGAGAAGGTATTAGGGAATGAGACTGATCAAATTATGTTAAGAAATGTATGAATATGGCATAATGAATCCCACTAATATGTACAATTATAAACCAATAATTTAAAAAGTCTCATTTCACATAAAAGTCTGAAAACTAGTTCTAAAGTGGTAGTTTAAAAGTAGAACATTAGAAGATGGTAGAGAAAAAAACAAAAACTAGTAACATCTCATTAATAAGTAGATTAAGAAATATTATTAAAAACAAGCATAAGAACTTACATAGGTCAATAAACTCTGCATACTTCACAATACTTCAAGATTATATCATTAAGAGTATAATACTATCATTAAAAGTGTAATACTACAGTATGTCTCATAACAATGATCTTAATCATTAAGGAAAGGTTATGCTCTGTTCATTCATTTTGCCTTAGTTGAAGACATTAAAAATTACTTCTTTAAGGCACATAACAATAAGAGAATATTAAAGAATGCATAAGTAAATGAATAAAAAAAGAAACTTCTCCAAGTGAAATAATTTAAAAATTTGCCATCTGAAGTGATATGCTGCAGTTGTGGAGAATTTGAAGAATACCACAGTAATAAAATATTTCAGTTGGAAGGAACCACAGGTTTTCTCCTAACAAACATCTAGTCCAGTTCTTCCAGGTGCAGGGTGAAGTAGGAACTACAGACCTTAGTTCTGCATTCTGTGATCTACTGACATTTTAACAGTGTTCACAGTTACAGGTTAACTTGCTGGCATAAGGTTTTACAGCTCAGTTTTAAGCATTCTTATAGCATCTGCATATACTAAGATATTGAAAAGAAACCATGTCCTCTGAAATGTGTCATTTAGGGTAGTCAACAATCAAATGGCTAGAGAAAATGAAATAAATAAGACACATAAACAAGTACATCATTTTGTACTTAAACACCACATGAAAAATGTAAAGTGAAATAAATTCAAGGGAATTGAATGTTGAGATAAAATTAAGAACAAAGAGATTCCACATTTCTATTCTAGCTTAAAAAGCAGAGATTTAAAAAAAAAAAAATCAGGGCTGGGGTTGTGGCTCAGAGGAAGAACACTCGCCTAGCATGCATGAGGCACTGGGTTCGATGCTCAGGACCACATAAAAACAAAATAAAGAAAGGTATTGTGTCCACTTATAACTAAAAAATAAATGTTTAAAATAAATAAATAAAAAATAAAAAAATCCATGAATTAATTTATCTGAATTTTTCTATTATAAGTCTTGAAAGAAAAAAACCAATTTTATCCCTAAGAAAGTAGTTAAATCAAATTCTTTCAAAGCACATTAAGGAATTCTAAAACTATTCTACCATAGGAACATCATTTAGAATCACCAGATTTGATGATCATGGTCTAGGTTATGTCTGTTTAGTTTTTTGTTTTGTTCCATTTTGGGGGAAGGGGTTACTGGGGACTGAACATAGGAGTGCTTAAAAATTGAGCCACATTCACAGCCCTTTTTATTTTATTTTAAATTTTGAGAGAGGGGTCTCACTAAGTTGAGGCTGGCCTTGAACTTGAAATCCTCCAGTACTCAGCCTACAGTTGCTGGGATCACAGACATACACCACCACACCAGCTCTCTTAAGTTTTTCTGACAAACTATAGCTAAGTGAGTTGGACAAGAGAAGCTGAAGAGAAAAACAAAATAAAAAAAAAACATAAATAATTTTGGGGGAAAAAGGAAGAAAAGCACATGAAGAAACTAGGTTATTATCAAACTGTAGCAGATAATTTCCAAATTTGACATTCCAGGCTAGTGATGCAAAGTGGAATACAGGATGACCAAGTCATCGAATGCCAATTGGACAACTATAATGTACAGGAGTACACAAAGAAAGACACGAATAAAACATGATTACCTTACAATCTAGCAGCAAAGATGAGGCAAATGAAAGTACCATAAACATGATATGGACCAAGTGCTACAGACATGAAAAAGGGAATAATTGCTCAGGAGCAGTTGGGGACAAAAGACAATGGGAATTTTATAAAGGCGACACTGGAATAAGGCATAGAAACGTCAAACTCTTTGAATATTAAGAAAAAAAAAACAAGGAGAAGGAAAGGAAAAAGAATATTAGCAAAGTTGAAAAATGTGCAAATGTTTAAAGAATACATTTTCTCTAAGCCTAGAGTGTCTGGAGGGATCATTCATACATGGGTCTGTAAAGCTAGAAGGAAAATGAGTTCTGGACTAAACTAAGGGACCTGAACACAAGTAGGACAGTGCTGATGGGAAAGTATGGGTTTATTAAGTGGGTTATGACACTCTGGAATAGCAAAATCTCTAAGAAAACTGACTATAATTACTGTGGTGGTTTTTCAACTTTGTTAAGCAAGAATTATTTTTCCAAAAACCCCTTCACTGTATGATCTGAAGTTAGAAAAATCTGAGTGAGATATGTAAAGCAGAAATGAAGCAGCAGTCATTACACAAGTTGTAGATGAAGGAGATAACAACAAAGGCAGAGGTGCTAGCTTTATTTTTCCAAATTCTTCTTTCTTTGCCCTGGTGATACCAGGGCCAGATACAGGAGTAATAGCCCTCCACACTTCTCTACTTATATTCATACCCAGGCAGAGGAGATATCTGGCTTTCTAGGTTCCCCTGTATGGTCTGGCTTGTCCACCTCTGCCAGTGTTCATGATGGCTTGTAGGTAACTTTTCTCTAATCCAGACTCTTAACTACCCCTTGTATGCTTTTCTCCATCTTCTTCCATAATTGTGTAAAACTTATTCCTATAATATATCCCTTATTATTTTTTTAAATTTAAAGTTGTAGATGGACACAATACCTTGATTTTATTTATTCATTTTTATGAGGTGCTGAGGATTGAACCCAGTGTTTCACATGTGCTAGGTAAGTGCTCTGTCACTGAGCTACAACCCCAGCCCTCCTTTATATTTTAATACTAATAGTGGTTTTGTTTCTCTGATTGAACTCATTATTGAAATACCTACTCTTAGAAAGCTGGTGTGAGGATTATGAATGGAAAATACAGAACAGTAACTGCCTGCTTAATAAATAATATTGCTCTTAATCTATAGATCTGAGATTGTAAGTTAGTGACCTATGGGGGTGACAACTGGCTTAGCCAGCAAATTGAAAACAAAAAGTCTAGAAAATAAACACCCCAAATCATGGACTGCTGGCTTCTCTGAAAAAAAATCAGTAGATCTGGTGGTTAGTTATTCCACATTCCTGCCTAGCACTAACAGGCTTGTGAGGAAGAGAAGAATGATGGTGATTATAAATGTCACCTTCCCAGTTTTCCATAGTGGCTTTATTAATTTATAATTCCATCAATAGTGCATAATGGTTCCAGTTATACCACTCCTAGCTACACACCAGAAGAGAATGAAGTCAATATACAAAAGAGATACCATATACCCATGTTCACTGTGGCACTATTC